GCAGATGTATTGAATGTGGTCTTTGAGACTCTAAGTAAATCATCTTGACTTGAACTTATCTCTCGTCTTACAAGTTTGATTGACCCATCTTTGTTTTTGGTCCTTTCTGATAGATACCGATCGAGTGGCAGAATATGATATGAAGATGATGGATATCGATATAGGTGATTATCATTATATTCAACTAGTCTAAGACTTTCAAGACATTACACTGACTTTCTTCCTCAACTTCTCCACCCTAGAACATCTTTCTATTCCTGATACTGCATACGATGCAGAGATCACAATGCCAGCATCCGAATTCAGTCGAATTGTACGAGATTTAAAAGAATTAGGAGAATCGGTTCGAATTGAAGCAACAAAAGAAGGAGTCAAGTTTTCAGCAGAAGGAGATATTGGTAAAGCAAGTGTGACACTTAAACATACAGATCCTAAACAGAAAAAAGGAAGCAAAAGTAAAGATCCAATGGTTATTGACGATGATGATGATGAGGAAGGTGAAGAGGAAGACGTTGTTAAAAAAGATGATGACGAAGAGGAAGAAGAAGACGTGAAAGTTAAACAAGAAGATGAAGAAGAGGATGAAGAGGAAAAAGAAGATGATGATGAAGATGAAGATGGACCGAAACCTAAGAAACGTAAGGTCGTTAAGAAGAAGAAACCGGCCAATGGAAAAGCGAATGCTAAGAAAGGGAAGAAAGAAGAGGTTGAGGAAGCTGATATGAGTGTTTCGATTAGTTTGAGACAGAGTGTTTCTTTAACTTTTAGTATCAAGTATCTTAGTAACTTTACCAAAGCTTCACCTTTGGCTAATAGAGTGGTGGTCAGTTTGTTTTCCATGTATCATTTGCAAGCTTTTCCTTGTATGAAGTTATTAGAGATTAACGCGTTTTTCTTTTTCTTTTTTGCGGACTTTTTGATAGCTTCATATGTCGAACGAAGTACCTCTGTTGGTAGAGTACGATTTCCAGAGTGGATGTAAGTTTTGAACCATTATATTTGAGAGAGAATGAGCCTTCTCTTGCTTGAATTTGATTATGACTGAAACTGATTTTGATTTGAAAAATGTGATGTGATTGTTCTTTTCTATAGATGTTAGATATTATCTTGCACCTAAGATTGAAGATGATTGATGAAATGTATAAAATTGTTTCTTTTTTGTTTGATGTTACAAATATATACTCTTGAACAAACAAATCAAACACACAAACAAAACTGTCCCCACTTGAACAAAATCAACAAATGAGGTTTATTATTTACTCTCTCTCTCTCTACTGTTTTTGGGTTACATTTTGAAGAAGAAAAAAAACCTTTGCGATATCTGATTTCCTTCTCCTATAGCTCATTGGATCTTTTTATCTCATCTTAATCTATCCTGTTTTCTTTGACACTTGGTAGTATCATTTTATTTAGAATGTATCACATTCGCAAGGGATTCTTTTCATTCTAGGTTTTTTTATATATATGATTCAATGTGGTTTAGGAAAGGTTTTTTTGAAAGTATGAAAAGTGAGATTTGAAGGAAAGAAGAGTATTTGCAATTTAGAACGTTGATCAAGGTTTGATTATAAGGAAAGGGCGTTTTTAGCAGTCAATAAAAGGTTTGAAGGTTTATCTACCAGTCAATAAGCTTTCAACTTCAAGGTTCACAAAAAGACCTGAAATCAACTCAAGTGAATTGATAAAGTTGATATTATATACAACACGGTTTTAAAGAGTCATTGGCTCTTGACTCAGCGTTTTCTTGAAGCTCATTCAATTTCAAGTAGTGAAACAATGCCGTGACATCAGTTAATAAAACTTTCTGTTTGCTTTTTGCAGCTATTTACAACTTGAATATCTCATACTTCCATCAATCTTCATCAACATTTGTTTTGGGTCATCCTGTTGATATTGGCTTGATTCCTTGAAAGGCCGCGGCTGTAGAAAGCCTAAACGTGACTGTTGACGTCACATGAATTAGATTCTTTCCTTGATCTTCACTTTTACGAACGGAGTGAGAAAAACATTGTGCATCGGTCAGATTTCCTCAAAACTGCAGCATGACTTGATAGATTATCCCTTGGCACTTGATGATGGCCCTTACCAACGATTCTTGACCGATGTTGATGATTTCTATCAGAGTAACCTATGCGCCTCATGACACATCAAGACACGTCATTTCTGCACTCCAGTTCGTGTCTTACCCTTGAGGATGCTCGTATAAGAATGACATCTTCACGGCTCTTTTCTTTCGTCATTCATCCATTCTTCCTCAATTACTTTTACCTTTATACTCTTTGAACATATTTATCGCATACCAAACTTTAAACTACTCTTGATTATTAATTACCCAACGTTAGTCCCAATAGATTTTGATTCGTTCAACTGATGATACACTATATTTTCTATTCTTTTTTGAAATGAGTACTAACGAATTATTGGTCTTTATTTTCGATTTTCTTTGGTATCAGACGATTCACTAATAGGCCGACATTGATTTTGAGGATACTCCATCACAGCTTTCCACTGAACTTCGTCTTATTTATTCTACTGTCACAACACTACTTTTCTTTACACGTTCACTTCTTCGTTCAGAACGGTGGCATTGTTTTTTTGGTATGTTTGCCTTTTGTTGAACTTTACAATGTTTGAAATCATAGATGTTGACAAGATCGATAATACCTGCATTTAGGCCGGTCCACCTGATAGCCCTTCTTATACTTCAATACTTATTTAATTCACATCATGTTATCAACCGGAAGATTAATTCCAATGCCTGTTGGTCATATCTCCCAAACCGCTACATGGTCGCATTCTTTAGCGCGCTGCCATCTTGAAAGGGAAATCATCGATTTTACACCAAGTCAATTAAGAGCTCTCGGTGTGCATTATCAACTTGAACAACAAATAAGAGTACAGAAGCAAAAAATAGAACATCATCTCAAAGGAATCGATCTTTGTGAAGTGTATGGAGCTAAACCCCAACAATTTATTTATCCTGGGTATTTTACCAAACAACGTGTAGATCAATATCTTCAAAGAAGAAACTCAAAAAAGATGTATCGAAGGCAGAGAAAACAAGAGAACTACAGAATCCAATTTGAGAATGCTAAAAAGAGTGTGTTTGAAGTTCATTGTGCCTTACAACGTGTACAAATACAACGACGGAAAGAAGTTACAGAACGACAAGCAGCTTATGTATCACAGGTCCTTCAAGATGATGAAGGAATGAAAGTCGAAATCGAAATTATAGTCCAATCTTCCTGGGATTCAGAAGGCATGCAGTACTGGGGACCTCAAGAGCGTAAGGGTTTTGTACCATTTTTGATGATAGTCTATTGGATGAGTTATAGGCTACTTCGAGCACTTCTTTCTGGATAAAGTTCAATAAGTTCTTCGTGGCATTAATATGATCTAGCAGATTGTTTCTTTTAATTTTCCTGTGAAGTTTTCTCTTGTCTTCTCTTGATGTTTTATTCTTTTTTTTCGGGTTTCACTTGTTTCTAACTTGCATATCTTGATTATGTTTTCTTCATATTTTTCTCATCATCTCGCTACTTTCTTGAAATTGTTTAGTTGGTTACCTTTGATTAATAGTTGTAAGCATTGAAGATGAGTTTAATCCTCTGGATATGATGATGTGATTACCGTTAAATTGGTTTGCGATTATAAGCTTACCAGACTCCCTCGCTGCTCGTCTGACGCTCCGATGCACAGTTGTCTCATGACATGAAGGCTCGCTATCTATCTACTTCGCTTGAGCCTTCCTCTTGAGGATCACCATATGAGAGACTCAGGGAGTGGTATCTTCACTGCTTCCTGGTTCTGAAGTCCTTCATCCCTTGCCTTTTAAATAGCTTTACTTGACAAATTTCCAAATATTATCATATCATGGCCAAGCTTATCACCGATTTTCAATTACCTCGTAAGTCCCATTGTTTGTTCGTCGCCCAGGTACACTGCAATATCTCTCCTTTTTTTAGGATGAGCACTCGCAATTTGTTTGTTCTTTGTTTTGCTCATTCCTTTGATATCTTTTTCTAGACCAATAAGCGATTGGAAACCGACGAATGGTTTCTTCGAAGTTTTCCATTACGATCTTTCTTACATTATTCCCATGTCCTCTGGGCAGTTCAACCTTGCGTCTATGTCCAGCTCGTCAAACTGAGATTCCCCGAACGCTACCTGGTCACACTGTTCAACAAGATGCAATCTTGAGAGGGAACGTCTTGATTTTGCCCGTAGTCAATCAAAAGCAATCGAGGTTTACTACAATCATGAACCAAACGTAAAACCGATGCAAAAGATAGAGCCTTTCAGTTTAAAAGCAACGCGCGCTTGTAAAGTTTTTAGTTTGACACTTAACAACTCATTTATCCGAGTCATTTCCCTCAGCATCTTCATCAAGAATAACGTCAAAGAAGAAAGTCAAAGAATAGTTATACGGAAAAGCAACTGAAAGCAAAACATGAAAAAGCTTTTGAAAAGGGCTTCCAAGAGTGCATTTGAAGTTCTTTCTGGCTTACGAACTTCGCAGATAAATAGACGTTAGGAAGTCGAAGAAAGAGTTTCAAACCCTTCATCAGATTCATCAGAAGTTTTCCCAGAGGAAGACCAAACGACATCAATTCACGCTCAACCACTTTTTGAAGTTTTACCAATGCAGCAACAGGAATGCCAATTAAAGCTAGCACAAGAACGATACATATTAGCAGAGCAACAGAGACGTTATCAAGCGCAACAACAACCGCATCAAGAGCATCAAAAACACCTTAATCTTCCACAACTACCACTACAATTCCAACAACCCCAACAAGCTCAGCCATCACTATTCTGCTCTGGAACAGGATCTCGATTTGATGCTCGGTCTATCGGGTCTACTTACTCTACCACTCCTTCAACACCTTGCCCCTGGGTCGTTGCCGCATCAGCTCAGATCTCTCCACTTCAACCAAAAGAGACGGCTTGTCCAGATGTCGGAATGGTAGATGTTTGTTCAATGGTTGTCGAAGACGATCGAATGGATTTGGAGCACCAAGATGTTGTTGATGAGAATAAGATGATCATTGATGGGTTCGAGATGGATTGTGTGATGATGGAAGTTGACCTTTTATCTGATGATGTAGATTGTTTCATGCAATAAGCTTTTTGTCTTTTGATGTTTTTTATAATTTTCTTTTTGCTTGATCATGATGTCTGTTTGCTTGATTTTTACTTCTATTTGACATAAGAAATATAGTCAATGCTTTCACGGATCCACTGACCTCATGTTGAACTCTTGACTTGCTTTATGCCCATAACTTGGCTGTTATATTGGTTTCATTGATTATGAAGGACTGACGTATTCTTCAATGCTCATGCCACCCTATAAAGCTTGTTGACGCCAATCAGAATTCCCACTCAAGTACTAACTTGTAGTAAAAGGTGCAATGAACCCACATTTGCCTGCTTATACTTGCATACCCCCTTCATCAGGTAGCTATTTGTGCCCTTCATCAGAATTTCACAAGCTTTTGGTTCAGTTATGCTTGTAGGAATATGACTAAACAACGGGAAGATTTTCGAAGGCTTAAGAAGCAAGTTAAAATCAACACAAACTCCGCGACCACACTCTTGGATGCTCCCAAAGTGTTTCGATTTTCTGCAAAATTTATTGGAGGCAAGATTTGCGGACCTGAAGGCCTATCTAGACACTCAAATTCGAAACCATCAAATTTCCATGCTATTTTTGATATTTTGTTTATCTCTATTTTCATTTCGCCTGTACATATCTTGGGCGCCTTGTTTCGCGCATCGAACTTTTTGTCAGGACATAGTAGACCACTATAAGAGAAAAAAAGACAGTCGTAAGGTATATTACAGTAGATCTACGTAGCAGCTAGTCAGTGCGATATACGAAAGCAAAGAAATTGATATCCATCCAAATGACTTTCTGACGCTTCTGCTGAAGTTGGACTGATTTGACGTGTCTGATAGAAAGCTTGCAAACGCATACCCGGATAGTCGCGACCGTTAACGCGGCATGAATAGCTTTATTCCCTTGATCTCAACTTTTACAACCACGGTGATGAAACTTTTTGCATACCGGTTAGATTTCTTGACTGCATGATTTGTAAGATCGTTCCTTGGCCCTTGATAATGGCCCTTACCAGCGACTCTTGACCGATTTTGATGGTTCCGATCAGAGTAACTTAGGCGCCTCATGAGACATCAAGACGCGCTATCCATCCACTTCACTTTGTGCCTTACTCTTGAGGATGATCGGATAAAAGGACATCGTCACTTCTCATTTCTTTCGAGATCATTCATCCATTCTTCCTCAATTATCTTTACCCTCACACATTTCAAGCCTTCTCTCATACCAAACTTCAACTACTCTTGATTATCAATTACCCTTAGTGAGTCCCAGTAGTTTTTTTTCCTCTTCCTTTGATATCTTGGTCTAGACAATTTACCAATAGGCAGTCATTTCTTTTGAAGATATTCATCACAGCTTTCCACTCCTGTTGAATTCGTCTATCGATTCTACTTTCGATTCATCACTTTTCTTCACACGTCCACTTCTTCGTTAGGTCAGTGGATCTTATTTTGTTCGGTGAGATTTTGTTCTGATGTTATGCGGTTCGGGATCATAAGGTATTGACAAAGCTATTTATGTTCATTTCATTCTCCGCAGATCACCCTTTTACTTCGACATCTCTCAAGTTCACATCATGTTATCTACCGGACGATTACTTCCAATGGGTGTTGATGAGATCTCCCAAACCGCCACATGGACACATTGTTTAGCTCACTGCCATCTTCGAAGGGAAACCATTGACTTTGCTCGCAGTCAATTGAAAGGTCTCGAAGCTCATTATCAACGTGAACAGCAAAGCGCACACATTCAAAACGTGCAACCCCATCTCAAAGGAACAAAGTCATGTGAAGTGTATGGCGCAAGACCTCAACAATTCATCTATCCTGGTTATTTTACTAAACGACGACATGATGAATTTCGACAACGACGGAACTCCAAAAGGATGCATCGAATGAGAAAACAACGAGAGAAACGCGAATCAATATGCGAGAACGCCAAAAAGACGGAGTTTGAAGTTCTTTCGGCCTTAAAAGTTTCACAATTAAAGCGACAAAAGGAAGTAACGGAACGACAGGCAGCATATGTATCGCAGGTCGTTCAAAAAGACGATGAAGGGATGAAAGCCGAATTTGAAATTGAAATTCGATCGTCTCAGGATTCGGAAGAGATGCGGTACTGGGCTCAAGAGCGTAAGGGTATTGCACCTTTTTTGATGGTAGTCTATTTGATGAGTTGTAGGCTACTCCGAGCACTTTTACCTTGATCAAGTTGAACCAGTTCCTTGTGGCTTTGATATGATTTGACAGATTCTTCCTTGTTTCCTAATTTCCTTGTGGAGTTGTATCTTGTTTTTTCTTGAAGTTTTTTTGTATCTCTCGAGTTTCACTTGTTTTCAGCTTGCATATTTGGATTTTTTTCGTCATGTTTTTCTCATCATCTCATTTATTTCTCAAATTCTACTTGGTTACCTTTTATCAGTTCTTGAAAGCAGTGAAGATTAGTTTAATCTTCTGGATAGAAGAATTTAATTGCCGTTGAATTGGTTTGTGATTCATGCATTTACAAAACTCCAACTCAAACGAGTCATGGGCACGTTCAGACCAACCAAATGATTCTTATGAATCATGATTGGACAGAAAAAGACAGAAACAACATGCCTGCAACAAATTCATAAGAGAATCATTTATGTACATCATTGACTCGTGCACTTCCACTACAAGCAGTGCCCTCCTTTGAAAAATTGCTTTCTTACCATCACCACCATGACGGGAGCATCGGGGTTCTGGATAATGCACCGACCCGGTCCCGACCCGACAAATCTGGCCTGGACCGGGGCCGACCCCCCCTTCAGGCCGGGCCGACCCGGTCCGGAAGCCCTAAATTGGTGACAATCACTTGAAAAACCAAAAAAAGCCCTCTGGCTTCTTTTGATATCAAGATTTACCTCAAAATATATTGAACTTAGTCAATCATTTATCCCCAAAGTTCAAACACGGCCACGATGCCGCCCAAACGCCCTCGCCCTTCTTCCATGATCGTCCTGTCAGACTCCGAAGAGCAAATTCATTCGACAACTTCAAGCTCAAGCACATCAAACGCCGTCAAACTCACCCAAAACCAGAAATCTTGGGTTTGGAAATTCTTCAAGACCGAAATTCGTGAAGGTGTTGCTAGATACGTCTGCCAGGCTGCAAAACCTGCCGGTAGTAATCACATTTGTGGAGCCGTGATGACCCCTGATCGAACTCAGAGCACGAAGTCCTTATCTCGACATCTTGACCGTTTTCACAATATCACTGACAAGACCGAACCCCAACAAGGAGCAATCAAATCTTTTCTTCAAAGTGGGACAATACAAAAGGTGAGTTTGTTTCGAGATGAACATTTACTCAAGTTTCTTTCATTTTTCTTTTTGTTCTTTTTTTTTGGTTTTCTTATCTCTTATATTTTTTTTCGATTCTTTCAATATTCCATCTTTTCATCTGTTAGCTTCCCAAGCTGTCTCGCGAGTCTCTCAAGTATCAACTGGTCAAACTGATCACCAACGGTGAAATGCCGGCGGCCGTTGTCGATCGCGAAGAGTTCAAAGATCTTCTCCGTATCTGTAATCCGGACATTGGGCCTCTTCTTGTTGGCTCCGATTGTGTATTGGAAACAGTTAAAACTCAGTTTCGAGTCTGTCGAGTTCTTCTCAAGGAAGTCTTGGCCGACGCTCTTGCTATCAACATTACCTGTGACAAGTGGTCTTCCTCAAACAACGTTCCAATTCTCGGGATTACTGCTCACTGGATCGATGATAAATTCAAATTACAAGAAGTTATTTTAGCAATGCAAGAAATTGAAGGTCCAAAGACCGGTATCAACCTTGCAAAATACTTTATCGAATGTCTTCAAAAGTTTAATATTGAATCTAAAGTTTATTGTGTTACTGCCGACAATGCATCAACTAACGGAGCAATGGCACGAGAGATTGCTAACGAACTTGACCAATTTCAACGAGAAACTAATTTACTTGGATGCGTAGCTCACGTTATAAATCTAGTTGCTCGAGCTGGTATATCTGTATTCTCAAAAAACTTGGGCGAAACAACTTTGGTCAACATAGCCGATATACTTGAAGATGATTCTTTCGATCAAATCAATGCTCCTGGAGCCATCAGTCGTCTCATGGGATTCATTACTGCCACCATGAAGACCCCAAAGCGCAAGAGAGCCTTTGAAAAGCTTGTTGAAGCCGAACTAAGTCGCTCTCTTGGCCTGATCCGAAATGTAGAAACTCGATGGAACTCTGACCTTAACGCCCTGAAGCGAGCTCTGGAACTCAAGGATGTCATCGACTTGAAATGTTCACGAGACCCCGATATGAGCAAGTTTAAACTCACTCAGACCGAATGGGAATTGATTTCCCACCTTGTTCGATTCCTTGAACCTTTTGAAAAAGCAACAAACATGCTTTCTCAGTCATCTTACACGAGTCTCAATGCCGTCTTACCTGTCTATGAGTGGCTTGAAACTCAACTTGACAAGGTAAGACTTTTTTTCACTTTTGCAATCTTCTGTTGAATGTTCTGTGCTGA